TGAAAAAGTAGCTTGCTACAATAACTGAGAATGATACTGATAATGGGCATAAGATGAAAATGTAATAATAACGGTAATGTTGACATTTACATCGTGAGTGAATTGCTGCAGATTCTTTTCCCAATGCTTGACAAAGTACAAAAATTAACACGAAGCGCTTCGACAGTGCGTACAGATAGTACGGCGTTGGGATCGAATATATTGGTGCATCATTCGAGAGATACGGAATATAAACAGTGGGCTGAAACATCTGTGAACACGCTATCGGCCATCGTGAAAATATTCAACGCGCAACGATCTCTACTTCTTTCACTTGGTTCGATTCATTTCTTTAAATCTTCGTTGTTGTTATTGTTATTGGTTTGAGTTTTCACTGTTGTTGATGCATTATTGCTAATCGAGAGAATGATATGGGTGTGTTGCAGTTGATTTATGAGCGATACGATTGTTTTATTAACATTTTAGTAACACAATAAAAAGATACTTTGAAATATCTTTGTGAATTTAAAATATCTTAGCGTCACGCTCGTATCATGTTTAGAAATTATTTATAAGAATGTAAATAATTCATATTCGATAAGTAATGTTTTGGTTGCGTGCAATATTCTTAAGTATTTTCTTGTACAGATGACTTCGCGTCGGCGTGGTCAACGCTTTTAGAGTATATCGAGTACTTGGCTGCATCCGATAACAGTGAAATGTCACTTGCGGCTATCAAAAGCTTTCAGGTGAACTGATTTATCCAATTATTTGTTCAGTGATTTATTTTTGATCGTTATTGAAATGACCGAAAGGTTTTGCCTATATCATTGTACGAGAAAAATTGTGATTCGTTCGTCGAGATTTTAGAGTAGGAGCGTATGAGTGATTGCGTTGGATGTCTTCAATTAATTTTTTCGTTTAGTAATAATTTTTTTCAATTTTTGTGAGTTTTCATGATTTTGAGGACATAGTTGTTTTAGGAGGTGTTACTCGGTCGAGTCACACAACAATCGATGGCTGATATGAATTTACGTGAACGATCAGCGGGGTGAGTTTTGCGTTAGTTGATTTAGTTTTGATTCACTGTGGTATTGAATTCAATTGTGTATGTGAAGATACACATCCACAATGCGTTTAGCATCGATTTTTGGTTGAAAGGAACTGATCGTAACTGTTTTCGTGTCCCACATTTGATTTTTTTGTTGAGTGATTTCATTAATTGCATTTATAAGTTTATATTGTCATTTCTTTGCACAAAGCCAACTTCAGTTAAAAGAAAACTGATATATTTTCGCATAAAACACTCCAAACCAAACAAATTTGAAACTAGCGAGAATTAGACTTGTAATTAGAATTATTATAAATTATAAATTCTCCACAATTGATATTTGCAGTTGTTGGCTAGCAGTCAGCCACTTATCTGATTTTAGTTTTTAACGGATTTCATCTTTCAGTAAGGGTAACAATGCTGCCGTGACAAGCGCACAAGACGAGTCATTATATTTACCTGAAAATCTATGGGTTATTTCGTGGCAGGTTCATTGTTTTGTTTGGTTCATTTCATCAGTATTTTATTGTTGATACTTTAAAATGTCACAACAGTGCAAAAAGGAATGTGTCGATATTATTTAATGCAGCAGAATTCGACGCGTTCATTTCGTTATGTTCTATTTGCTTTTTTTTGGAACATTTCACAAAAATGTTTTGTAGATTGTAAATACTAGCGTTTTGAAAGAAATTTATGTTGAAGAATATGAAAATGGGCGATTATTGGTTAGTGTTTTTAGGTTAACAAATGAGTTGCAGTGTTGGTAAGAGTAAATACTGATTAGAATAATGGTAGTGATAATTAAGTGATAAGAGTAATAATGCATAGTATTCAGTGTTGGATGCGAATATCGCAATCGTTGATCAGTCCACAACCGCGAAACGTCTCGCATCAGTTGTCTCAAAATCCCGCTGGAGTATTCACTGAAAAGTTTGTTTTATTCAGAGCTTTCATTTAGATTATTTCATTACGTTATTTAGATTATTATATCATTAGGATCATTATTTTATTATTTTATTTATTATTTACGTTATTCAGATTATTTCATTATGTTTCATATAATTGTTTAGTTGCCTCTTTAGGTGAAATGTGGTATATTTAGGGCTTTAGGAGAGAGTTGAGCGGTTTTAAGGACGATTTGTTACAGATTAGATTGAGGGGTGGTTACTTACGTGGTATTTATGAAGTACAGAGTTCTTCACATGGAGAAGATTTATTTCATTATTACAATTTGAGAAATTTAAAATATGAGAGTTTTTGAGTGATCTGCAAGTTGGCAATGAAATTGCAGAATCGACGCTCCACTGAAGCATTACATTCCTGGCGCTGCGCATTTAACAACAATCTTACACGTGTTCTCACCGTTATTTGAAAGAGTCAAAAAGAAACTTCCCGTCGACGAGCTGAGATATGAACGAGTACCGACTATTTTGAAGGTATTTTCAGTGGATATCGCTGACTTTATTTGGTATTTTCTCGATAAACTATGCAACTGCGATAATAATGATCTTTATGAAAGTTGTTAAGATTGTTATCATGGCGATTTTAGTTAAAAGTTTAATGGAATTTTGCTGGTTTTCTGAAATTATTTATTTGATGTAGAGAAATATTTTG